GATTTCTCTGTAGTTGCGGATTATCACCCGTCGACAAAGACGTGACACCGCCCAAGATGTTCAAGCGACGAACCCTCGGTCAGGTGATGTACGGAGACGCCAAGGTGCAAGGGACTCGACGGCGTCACCTCCGAGTTTTCAACAAGTATCGGATACGGCCCTATGTCACTGAATCCAGGCTGTCCTTATTATTAATAATGGACTGGCCGGATTCGCATTCAGCGGACCATCTACGGTACGAACCCTCAGTGGCGGTTGGGATGAGCTCGCGGAATACTCAGCGACCTTTGGAAGACACGTTCACCGTCTGGGACAGGGCGCGGACCGTTAAAGATGCTCATGCGACGGTGCAGACGACGCTTGGCATGCAAGAAGATCCATAACGGATCATTGTTCACTTGATATTTGTATACTTGATTAGGACTTCTTATTAGGAATAGACCCGAAAGGGTAAGCTTAAATACAGAACAGAATTTCCACTCAAGCACACAGAGCGACGTCCGGCTTCAAGGTAAGCGTCAGGTCAAGCTTGTTTGAGTGTGTTATGCCTGTCGGTGAACTCGAAGCTCTGTAGCGAGGGTTCATCCGGCAAGGCCAAGAGACTTTGTGTATTGGCCGATTATTATCGGGAGGTTTTTACGTGACGGCTTATTGATGCCTATTTGCACGACTGGGAGTGCTTGAATTGCCTCCCTTTTATTTCTTCCAGCCGAGTGTTGAACACTCGGTGATCTCGTAAAAGGCTTACCCGTGCCTGGTACCCTTCCGCTGTTGGGACCACGAGGATTCAAAACACCTGCTAGCTTTGCTCGTGCTAGTAGCGTGTTCTTATTAAAACGGGTTGGCCTATATAAGTAGTTTACAAGGTCCAGTTTGTCCCGGTGCAAGGGCAGAACTGGGGTCTTCAGGTCCGCCCGAACGATCGTTTACTATCCTAGTAGACGTATTGTTGTGGGAACATCCCTAACCTACATCTGTAGCTAGAGTTCACGTGGGATTTCCCAACACCACAACAACAACGAATGGAGGATCCAATTGTATATATTATCAATGCTTAAGATAAATTTTTTTGTGACCCTGGCAATTTTTTTTTTTAGAGATATAGATAATAACAGTGTGTAGATAACCATGGAGGGCCGATACGCGCTAAGCGTCACTCATAGACACGACACATGAACAACATGAAGATAATTACATCGTTTCTACATTATCTTTAATATATTTCAGATAAATATACCTAGAAAATGGGCATTCAATACGTTGATACAGCTGATGAGGAGCCAGTCGTTATTGATGATAATGATTACAAAGTTTACACTCCAACAATCGCACCAATCAACGTGAAGCCATTTACATTCGACACTGATAAGTTGAAGTCTGATGCTAACATTCAAGAGAAGACCTTGAGTTTGGTGATGGCGAATATGAACCAGTTTTCGAAGTGAGGTATTATTTTTACAAGACCTGCAGGCGCTCCAATTCACTTTTGAGGATTTCCAATCTATCAATCTTATCGGTGCTATCGCTCATAGCTGTAATCGCTCTGTCGCGATACACGATATAAGCTCCGCGTTTCCAAGCGCAAGGGCAAAACATATGATGCGTTGCTCAGCGATGGCAGAGTCGTGTCGTTTGGAGCAATCAAGTCCAATGGTGAGTCCTATCAGCAATATCAAGATCGCACAAATTTAAAAGACATACCGTGACTATGATCACAAAGATACAAAGCGAAGAGAGCGATACTATAAGCGACATGGTCCGATTGACGATCAACATCTTTACACTCCGAATGGTTTTCGAAAAAATATTTATGGGTAGCGTCTCCGGCAGCAATATCTGTTATATTTCCGAATTAATTTTTTTTGAAAATTTACCCATCCACCCCCTCACCGAGATTTTTTTTGCACAATTTAAGATTTGGAAGTTTTCCACCCCCCTGATTTGCCTATTTCCCGGGTTGATAAAAAATGATTTTAGAATTTATCGGAGGAGCTCACGCGCATTGAAAAGTTGATTGAATCTCAACAAGAGCGAATTCAAAAATCTCAAAATCAACTCAATCTCATCAATCGCGAGTTTCTGCCTGGTGATATTGAGAGTATAACTCTTGCATACTTTATAGTACAGCTGTCATTATCCGAGCTGCTTAAAATAGTTTGTAGAACTCGTCTTCCTTTCCATGCTGCAAATAGTGAAGCCATAAGATACAGAAGCCATCACAGTGCCCGAATCGGGGGTCTTAGATATCAATTTCGCGATAAGAATAGTCTTTGGGAAAAACGCGTGGTCTTGGAAGGCCTAGAGGATCGAAGTAGCGCTTGTCTTTGTTTGAGACTGCCGGCCAATGTGTGCCTCTGATAATTGGATTGCCCATATTGATTATTGCATAATCTGTGCTTCTATCAAGATTTAGCTTGAAATCGATTTGATCTACCTTTACCCCAAGAGAAGTAGCGAGTTTCATTAGTTGATCATCTGTTGTTCGAGACAATTTAATAATTTTCTTTTCGCTCATATAGTGTTTTTTCTGAAGATCTATATCTTGCCCAATATAAAGCAAACTCGTACTATACAATGCCCACCGCAAGTGATATCTCTGCTTTCGAGCACTCCGTCGAACCAGCTCCAGCTGAAACGCTCTTTCGTGATAAGAAATGGACCTATATTCAGGATTCGACTAGTAACACTGGTAAATACGCTGGTCAAATTCAATTTAACCTCTTCTCAAGCTGCGTTTGTCAACTGGGAAGAGGCTGTCATTGATCTTCCAATCAAGCTTCAGATTCTCAATGCTGGAGAATCTTCAGTTACCTCGACCGCTGCTTGTACCGTTGATCAGCTTGTTCCTAAGGCATATGCCTGGCAATTCATTGATTCCGGGTAAGTTGTTGTAGATGGCGTGACCGTTCAGACGAATCAAGTTCATGAAAATGTGAATGCTACGTTCAAGGCGCTAACCGAATGGGACTACAACTCCTACATTAAACAAGGACCAACGAGCAACTTCGTGCTAGATGAATATCGTCTACCAATTCCCGGAGTCGCCCAAAATCTTGACAACATGGCAGCATCCAAATTATATTAGCGGCACCGCTGGCGAAATGGGGTCTTTTTTAACACATTTTCGAATGGAGGTGCGTACAAACGATCGCTATTCACTGCGCTTGATCAAAGCAGCGGTAACCTTGCACATGATATCATATGATATAATGCCAATATCCAAGCTGTGTCAAAGCCGCAAGTATACGTCGCGCCAGCTGGCGCCGTTGCTGCCGGTGCTCCGTTTAGCGTAGCGCATTATTTAGCCTGCCTTAAGCTCTCTGACTTATCCGACTACTTCAAGAAATGTACAATGCAAAAGAACAAGAAGGGGTTCATGTATATCAACTATAACTGCTCTGCTACGTCAATTACCACTGGTGGATCAGCAGGTACGGTTGCAGCAACGAATATTGCTAGCATCAACAGTAATATGAACTTCGGCAACACTTGCCCAATTCTATGGAATGGTACATCCGCAAATACAACCAACACTGGCGAATCAAGTGGGTTAGCTGTTCCAGGATCAACACATTTGTTAGTCACAGCCGATGTTAATGGTACTGCAACTTCGGGAAGTGGTATTGCTCCATCGCAGACATTCTCTCGTCAGCTTGCTCCAACATATAGCCCAAATCAATCAGCTGACAACGTTCTCATCCAAAAGAAGACGTTCCGTTACATTGAACGTGTAACCAACAAGTTTACTGTTCAAGCCGGTCAGTCATTTAGATGGACTCTGACGAATGGTATTGCCAATCCAAAGAAATTGATTATGCAACCTGTTATTACAAACGTAACTCTTGGATCAAGCTCTTTATCAGATGCGATCAATCCATTCCGTAGTTGCTTTTCAGCGATTCCAGCCACGACGAGTCCTTATACAGCTTACAAAATATCCAAGTAACGGTGGGTAACGTCCCAGTTTGGGTAACGTCCCAATTTGGAATAATCCTGTCAACTTCGGCTACGATCTATTCGTACAAGAAATGTCAAAATCTGGCGCTGATGGTAGGTCACTAATGTTGGCTTACTGTCTCAGCGTCTATGGGAATCACTGTACCGATTCATTGCTGTTGACATTGGCCGTCGTCTACCCAGCGAAGATGGTGCAGGCAAGTCGATCATTGTTTCGGGTACGAACAACACGAACTACGCGCTTACGATTTATTCTCATATTCTACGTGAAGTCGTAGCAACTGTAGATACTGCTATGGACACTGTCTTTCTAGGCGCGGTTGAAAACTTAATGCCAACCCGCTATCAATTAGTATTTTTTTATTTGCCAAATATAGCATCCAGGCACAAATGAGCGGGTTCTTCACTGATAACCAAACTAAGCAAAAAGCGTATGATCGCTACTACAATGCAATGACCAAAAGTGATTTTGTCTAAGGCGCGAAGTTGAAAGCAAGGATTCAGACGTTCTCACCACACCTTGATGTCCTCCTTCCAGCGAGTCGTGACAGTTCTGCAAGACCTCTTGAATCATCGTTGTCGGTACCACAAGCCGCAGCTTGGTCTTCTCTTGCCAACTGTGGTCGTACAGACGATTCAATCCAAGATAGTGAAGCACGCCGTCTTCTGATAACACGAACCGGTCAGCATACTTCCAGGCATCTCGAGCTTCTTTGTAACTCAGCTCTTCTGCTTGGCCCTGAAGCACCTTCTTGATGTTAACCCACTTCTGCTCCTCGTCTTGTGCCACCATTATCCGTCTGCGTCGTTCCCGCTGTATCGCTACCGGGTCAACATCTTCCGCATCGGGAAATGCCGCTGGTACAGTTTTGTGAGGATGGTCTGGCAAATCATCGCCGATTGAATCTTCGGTGGACGTCTCTCGTCGTTCTTCATGCTGTTCGTGAGCTTTTGAGACCTCCTCCGAGTGTTCATCTGCAAACCTGACGCGTTTCTTGGCTTTCGTCTGTCGCCGAGTCATCACTGCCATATTACCATAATCGCACTTTGGTGAGCTGTAATCAACCACGAAATTTTCGAAAGTTTTCCACTTTGAAGACTCGCTGCCTGACAGTACATGTACTTGACGCTCTGCTCCTCGTGACGAAACATCTACCGAGTCTTCATCCGGCTCGTAGATCATTTCCTGGATGCGGTTCAGCGATGCCAATTCCGACTTGCGAGTTTCAGCCAAGATTACCCGACTGACCTTCGATTCAAGCGCTTCAGTGGCTAACGAATCCGCGGCCGCGTTGTATTCTCGTACAACGTGAAGATATTTAACTGATCGAAGCTTGGCCGTGAGTTCCTTGTGAGTATTCAGCAGCGCTAGCAAAGTTTCCTTCCTGCATGCGATCACCCCAAGTGATTGTTGAATCGCGAGCCTTGAGTCCCCAACGATGACTAAATCCTCGGCACCGTGCGCAATAGCAGCCTTGACACCGTTGATCATACCTTTATACTCTGCCTCATTCACAGTGGTAGCCGAGAGGTAAGCGTTTGCAGCAATCACTACCTTCCACTCAGGAAGGCTCCACAGCACCCATGAACAACTCCCGTAGCCACCGTACTTCTCTGTCTTCGCTGATCCGTCAAAAGACATGACGAATCCGCTGTAATTACGGGAAAGCCTGGCGTACAGCAACGCGGGGTCCATTCGAATAGTCGGGGAACCCTTGTTTGGAGGCGCCACCGGCGCGAGCGAGTCTTCCAGGTCAACGAAGCTCGTGATGCTTGACTGCAGTAGCTGCGCAAAGGCGACATCCTTCTCCTTCACGCGCTGCACCTTAAGGTGCCACTGCGATAGCAGCACTGCGACTGGACCGCGCGTCCGAAGAGAGACTTCGACTTATGCAACACACTTCTAACGTCGAGGAATCGTGTATAGACATGTAGCCGTATTTTCCTGGCCAGCTGGGACGTGGCAAGAGCTTTAAACAGCAGAGGTAACGGCCAAACTTTCCTTTCTCAACATGAATGGTAACTCATGCTCGGGCCTCCTTGAGCTCTCGCGTGAGGAGCCCGTCGGGATGTAACTTTCGCGGAGAGGTACTTGATTTTCGCTGAGTGGGTGAAACGCACCTTCCGTTCCGCAGGAAGGA